GGTTCCACTCCTGAATTTAGCTAAGTTTATTTTTTATCTTGCCCCTCCCCTTCTCAAGAAAGAAAATGCAGCAAAGGGATGGTGATGACTGGCAAGAGGCCTGGGCTCATCTCCTGTGCTCTGAGGAACAGATGGAGGGAAGCAGCCAGGCATTGGGCCCTGGGGTGGACACTGCTGCCAGTCACAGGGCAAGAACTGCACTTTTCTAATACTTTTGGACTCACCAAGACTGGCCAGGGACTGGCTGGCACCACACCACGACTAGATAGCAGATCACTTCTCAGCATCTAACCAGGAAGTTCTGTCACCTGTTATATACTCTCCCACACTGTGAATATTAATTGCAGACAAACTTTCTGCTTCTGCCATCTCTTTAGCCATAGGATTAACCTGTGGGGCTAGTGAAAAGAGAACTACATTTTAGTGTGCCAGATTTAGTACACACAAAAAAATACTGGAAGCTAGCTTAAATGTGAATTTCAGATAAACAAATAATTTTTTAGTGTAAGTATATCCAGAATCTGTTTTCTCTGGCAATCTGCCACATTTTTCCAATCAATATTTAAGACTTAGAAAGAAAAATGAATGAATGAATGGTGAGGAAGATCCATAGGACAGAAACACATCACAGAGGTGTAATTAATGCATGTCTAACACTTTTAAAATTTTTGTTTTTGTCAATTTAAAATATTTTCTATTAATTTTTCTTAATTTTTAAATTTTCATAAAAATAACATATATACCCCCCAAATTAAAAAGTTAAATAGTACTGAAAGAGACATGGTGAAAATAGCAGTCTCTTATCCCACCCAACCCCAGCTCCCTGTTTGATGCTCAGAGGTACCCAGTTAAACGCTTTCAGCTGTTTCTCCCAGTTTTAACCTCCTCTCCCATCTTTCTAAATCATATACTTATAGTGTTCTTTTGTTGATTTGTCAATTTTAAACATTACCCATTTTCTTGCAATCATGGGAGATGAGGATTGGTTTCTTTTACCTTCTTCCACCTACATCCTCCTTCCCTTTCCTCCAGCTTCCCATCACTGTAGCACAGCTTTTGGTTAAATCAATAATCTGTGTTAACATTATTATGGCTCTGTAAATTTTTTTGTGTTGCCTTTATCTTCTTTTACAGTTTTTGTGTTGTGGGGTTTTCTGTAGGTAGCAATTGCCTCAGATTTTTTATTGACTCAGTTTTTGGTAAACTTTTTCTCACAAACTTATTCTCACAACTAATTCTCACAACCATCTAATAGCCCCTCAACATAATTTTCCACCTAGTCACACCTGTTAGGTAATCCATCTGGCCCATCTCTGTCCTGAGTCCTCTATTCTCTGGCTCAGAGGGGGACATCCCTAGGCCTACTGCCCCCCTGGCATCCAGGTCTCCTTTACCATCATCCTGGGAATCCCTATGCCCTCTCCTAGGTATGTCTTCCTCATTCTTGGATTGTTCTCTTATTTGGGTGGAGAGCTTCCTGAGAAAGGGAGCATGAGAGGCAAATTACTTGTGATCTCCCATGTCTTCAAGTGTCTTTTATTCTACCCTTTCTCTTAATGGTTTAGGTTTGGATTTCTAAGCTATAAATAATTCTCACTCAGAATTCTGAAGTCCTGACTCCATTATCTTCCAGCTTCCAGTGTTGCTGCTGAGAAGTCTGGTGTCTTTCTGATCTTTTCCTGATCCTCTCAATTGACCTGTATTTCCTTTCTGAGTCCTTTTGGGGTCTTTTCTTTATCCCTGGTGTTCTGACATTTCATGAAAATGAACCTTGAGAGAGAAATCTTCTTTTCTTTCCCTGAAGATTTCATAGCATTTGTAAAGCTTTCTCCTCCTCTCTAAACTTATACATTCTTTCTCCCTCCCCAACACCTATCTCTCATGCCTGAGGCTTTCCTTAAATGTCTGGGGATCTTGGCTCTCAGACCATATTTAAGAGTCATGTGCTGAAGAGATGACTGGATGGTCAGCATGCTTGGGTAGAGCTTGTCTACCAGTGGATTGCCCCGTAGAAGGTGAGCTGGCTCTTCTATTGGGCGTCTGTAACGGGATCATGTCTGTATCTGTAGGCCTTCCCCTTGAGTCTGCTCGGTTTCTTCAGAAGAGTTCTTGAGTCTTCAGCCTGCGGTGTGCCTGGTTGCCAGGCTTCCTAGAAGCAGGGTGAGGAAAAGGGGCTGCAAGTTTACCTCTTAGTATCAGGGTTTCCATTTATTCCCCATATTTTCAGTTCTGTACTCCATACTCACCCTCCATAGTGCCTGATGAGCTGACCCAAAATCCCCATGGGCACTTGAAGCCTCCTGCAGGAACAAGCAAGGTGTGGTGACCCCACTGCCCACAGGGACTGTGCTCTCATGCAGTCTCCACCAGTCCCCCGCTCCGCACCCCATGTGCAGCTCTGTCCTCCCTGTCCCAGCAGTCTGCCCGCTTCTCACCCAGAAGCCCTCTGTAGGCATCAGGCCTTCAGCCTCCCCCTTACCGCCATGTGACTCGCCACTCCTTCCTCTGCTTCCTGCCTTCCAAAAATGTGCTGACATACTTCATCTGCTGCCATGTCCTCCCTTATCTGCATAAACCTTGTGGATTTGTAACTCTTTTTACTCCTTTATGGTTGTTTGTAGTAGGGCTTTGGGAGGGAGCAGATGGAGATTCATGAGAGGCTCTTTTGTCACATTTAGCCAGAAGTTCTTTAGAGTCCATTTTCACTCCGAAGTACTTGAGGGGAACAATTTCCAGGCCACGTTCTGAAATAACTCCTGCTGTCAATCAACACACTTTTTATTGTGTTTTGGGCTAGGTGTTTCTCTGTGGGAAATGGAGCAAAGTCCAAACACACACATATCTTTAATATGTTTAATCATATTAGTAAAACACTTCTGACCTTTTGAACAAGATCCAAATGGGTTTCTCTGCTTTTGTCTAGGAACAGGGACAGAAAAGCATGAGAGGCACTTTGAAACATGGTCCTGGGCCCCAGTGCTTACCAGACCTGCTCTGTCTTTTGGGCTTGAATAAAAGCAGGGAGAATGCTGAAATACCATCTTCTTTGAATTAATCATGAGCCCCACCTCTCCTGCTATCCTGTGTTTACACATTACTGCTATTGTGTTGTATCTGCTGGCGGATCTCCTTTCATCTGCAGCCACACAAGCCCTCTTCATTTAAAGCTGCACACATGGCTCTTGAATTAAGAGGGCATTTTAGCAATAATTCCTCATTCCTCTTATTGAAGGGCTCAAAGTCTTAGGGAAGGATCACTGCTGTTTCAATTGACATCTAAAGTCCAGACAAGCTAAGGAGAGAGAGCAGGGCCAGGAGGCTGTCACAGGGAAACGTGGCTCTGTGGGTGGGGCAAGGGGTTAGCAGGATGAGTAGATCAGGATGGAGAGGGCCTTGAATGCCACACTAAGGACTTTGCACTGGCCTACAGGCAGTGGGGAGCCACCAAGGAATCTTGAGCAGGACAGTGACCTGAGATAAACTGCGCTTTAAGAAAATTAAGCTGATAGCTGTGGGTGGGAGGGTTTGGAACAGGGAGAGGCTGGAGTCTAGGTGGCCAGTTAGACAAAGTGGCTCTTAATCCTGACTTCATAGACCACTGGGAGACCTTTTTAAAAATCCAGACCCTGGCCTCCACCCTGCTAGATTGTTTCAGGTTTCTGAGGAGGGGACCAAGAATCTGTGTCCTAATACATTCATCAGGTGCAGCAGTGAGCTAGACGGCTATTTTTTTAAATTTTTATTTATTTAATTTATTTATTTTTGGCTGTATTGGGTCTTTGTTGCTGCATGCGGGCTTTCTCTAGTTGCAGCGAGCAGGGGCTACTCTCCGTTGCAATGTGCGGGCTTCTCATTGTGGTGGCTTCTCTAGTTGTGGAGCACGGGCTCCAGGTGTGTGGGCTTCTGCAGTTGTGGCACGTGGGCTCAGTAGTTGTGGCTCACGGGCTCTAGAGCACAGGCTCAGTAGTTGTGGCGCATGGGCCTTAGTTGCTCTGTGGCATGTGGGATCTTCCCGGACCAGGGATCGAACCCGTGTCCCCTGCATTGGCAGGAGGATTCTCAACCACTGAGCCACCAGGGAAGCCCTAGAAGGCTATTGAGACATGCCAGTAAAGGGCTCCAGACCTCAAACACGGGACTGTGGCTCTGGGAGGCAAAGGAGGACACAGATTGGAGGCAGGCTGCCTTCAGGGTGGGAAGTGGGGGGCGGGCAAAGGGGAGAGAGGGAGTCCCACCTGACCCCTGCCTGTTTCAGGACCTGAGGGGAGGGAGGCATGAGAAAGACCATCAAGTTGGGCCTGGAGAGCGAAATGGAGGCTGGGCCCCTCCTGCAGAAGAACCCGGAAGAAGATCAGATGTAGGAGAAGATAGCGACAGGGGACATTTAGGATGCCAAAGGGGCCTGGGACTTGGGGAAAGATGACTGCAAGCATCTGGCACCCACTTGGTATGTGAAGCTGGGAAAAGGAGACTACGGTTCAGATCCCTCCAGTTGCACACGCACATGGACACATGCATGGCTACATGTGGACACGGACATGGACACACAGACAGTCTTCTTCGGCAGGAGGCAGAAAGTGTGGTGGTTCAGAGATTGGGCTCTGGAATCCAGCAGCCCTGTCCCTGTGGCTCTGGGAGCCTCAGCCTCCTCACTGACAGAAAGCCAATGACGCTAGCAGTTAACTCAATATGGTTGTTGTGATGACTTGATGAGATGCTGTATGCCAAGTCTGGGCACAGAGCCTGGCACGCAGGGAACACTCCATAATGGTAGCTCTGAGTAATACTAAAAAAAAATGTGATCTGACTTCTGAAGCCAAGGAGCCATAAAGTATTTCATTCAGTGTATCTCACTTCTGAAGCCAGAGAGTCATAAAGTATTTCATTCAGTGTTAGGAGACAAGTCCACGGGAAGGCATGAAACCTCTCATTTGTTGCTATCCACTCCGGGTGGCTTTCTCTAGGTGTGTCTTGATGAGTCCTTTGCCTTTTATTTCTAGGACTCCTGGAGAAATGACAGTCCCTTGCTGCTGCGTTTAATTGGAGAGGATCTCAGAGACCCGAGATTATAATTATGACACGTTAAATGCCGAGCTCTTCAAAAGTCTGCCCTTGCCCTCGCTGTCACCCTGAACAGCTCTGAGAACCCAAACCCTGCAGCCCCCAGAGTGTGCCCTGGGTCTCTCAGCCAGGCCTCACCTGGGAAATCTGAGTGATGGTGACGTGCAGGCAGCAGGAAGACACACAGTAAACCTAGGAGCCTGTGATGAGCTCAGGAGAGGTGAGTTGATGATATGCTATTTATAGCCCCACTAAGAGGCTCTGGCCGCCAGCTCCATGTGAGGCTGGGTGGAAATGATGCCTCTGTGGAGCTGAGAGCACAGAATGAAACTGGTGATTCATGGGCAGCAGCCACTTGAAGTACAAACGCTCCCGCGTCCCAGCCCTGCTGGCCTTTCAGACGCCCACTTTGGAAGCCTACTGTCTCCAATCTTCATGCCTTTGGACAGGATGCGAGGACAGGCAGGTTCTGCCTCACAAGGGACCTAAGAAGGGCAGCGATGCTCCTCAGAGAACCCCAAGACCCTGAGCCCACCCCTCCCAGGGCCTCAGCCAGAGCCCAGGTCAGGGCTGAGTAAGAGGCAAGCCCTGGGCTCAGGAGGCCTGCGGGTCAGAGAGAAAGGACTGCTCCTGCTCCTGCCCTCTGTCTCCAGGGGCAACACTGGCCACACAGCAGCATCCTGATGACGCTTGTTCTGCTGAACATACAAATATGTACAATGAGGAAATCCTGGTCGTTTTTAAATTCCGCACCCCCCCCCCCAATTCCATAGCCCAGTACCTTTCACCTGAAATAGCTGTTGTTTATTTTCCTTGGTAATATCTTGGCTTCCAGGCCAAAGTATACTTGGAGGCCTCAACTCAACTCACACTCTGTGAGGAATGTGCTGGGGGGTCTCTTAGCTTTGTCAACCAAGACTGGATTGAAAGGGTCGAACCAGGATAATGAGGCATAACTGAGCTCTGGAGCCAGACTGTCTGGGCTCAAATTCCATCTCCACACTTGCCAGCCATGTGGCCACCACCACATTCTTCTCTTAGACCCAGTTTCCTCCCTGGTAAAGTGGCGGCAATAACAGAACTTACCTCAGTGGGTTGTGGGGAAGATGAAAAGAAGGAATGTATGTGAAGCGGTCAGCGCAGTGCCTGGCACACGGGAGGACTTAGTAAGTGGGAGCTGCCGCTGCTGCGTGCTTGTTCTCGCTGCAGTGGCTTGGCCCCTACACCGACACCATAGCCTGTGGCCCTGAGGCTCCTCGTGGAGGTGGTGCCCTGAGCCTCAAGAGAGACTGTCTGTCCCTCACAAGCACAGCCCGCATCAGGCTGCCCAGCATGATGGAGTCCACCCCTGGGCAGCTTGGCCCTTTGCGCTGCCTGCCCCTGCGCTGGCCTAGGAAGCAAGTGCCTATCTTTTGGGTTGGGCCTTGCCTGGGCTTGGCCACTCTACTCTTCCACTCCTCTGGGCCTGGGGTGGCCCTTGGGGGCATTAACTATCACCGCCCAGTGGAGGACTTCACCTGAGGGCCCCAGGTATTAACTTGAGGTCTGTAGCCAGCAGGTTGCCCACCAAGGGGGGGCCTGGACGGCAGACAGGTTGGGCCCACCTCACCTACCAGCTGGGCATACAGCACAAACTGCTGAATCATGAAGGCCCACGAGGCCTCGGCTGTTTGTACATTCTCTCATCTCTAGCTGTCAGCCAAAACATAATTGTAGCTGTCACTTTGGCAGCAAGATGCTGTGATGTGTCCTAGTACAACTGCCTCTGCTCCATGGCAGTGAGCTTTGGGGAGGTGGGAGGAATCTGCAGCTGCTCCCATGGAGAGAGCCGTTCTGGAAAGTGACCTGTGCAATGTTCAGCCAGGTGCAGCCTTAGGGATGGTGTGAGCACCAGGGTAAGGCCATGCATTAGAACAGACACTGGCACGCCTACATCTGCATCTGCATAATGCAATTCTGAAATGAGGCATTTTGGGCAGCTACAAGGGCTTGGAAAACAGCCTTTAGACTTACACAGAAGTTGGACTCCAGTGTGCCTGGGCTGAATGAGTAGTTAGACAGTGGGGTACATGGTGTAGGGAGATGGTGCCAGAGGTATACCTAGGGCCAGATTGTGAAGCAAGGGGCTTGAAGGCCGGGCCATGGAGCTCGGACTTGATCCTGCAGGTAATGGGGAGCCACTGAAGGACTTAAGGGAGAGAGTGATGTAGTCATACGACATGGAGTGTCTGGGCTCTAACATCCAAAGTAGTGGCACTAGGCGTAAAGACCCCCCCTCCCCACGGCAGTGGTGTGCTGCGTAGGAGGGTGTTCTGGAGTACATGGGGCAGCAGCCCCAGGATTTCAGGGGTGACTAACTCTGTGCTTAGTGGGTAAGTGTGGGAAGGGTCAGCTCTAGTCAGGCTAGCTGCAGGTGTTCAGCACGTGAGAGGAGGCTCATGCCTTCCTTATTCCTTGGTCCTCCTAGGCCAGAGTTCATTAATGAGGCACCTGTGTGCAGATGTGCCAAATGCAAGGGACTGCACACACTCATGCCGAAGGTCAGGGGAGGCTCCTGGGGCTGAGAAATGGTCCCACTGCCTGTGGGTGTTGCCTCCCTCACCACACACACGCTAAGAAAACAGCAGACAAATACCCAAGCTTGGGGAAATTCCCTAGAAGGAAGGTTCTATCCTCATGAACTTAAAAATCTGCCAGTTCATAGGTTGGTTAATGAAGACAGAGAATATGAAGTGTTGGGAGCTATTACTAGTGGTTGAACCACCCATGAGCATGGAAGCCAGAGCATATCTAGACCATCATGTAAGTCAGGAGGAAGACAGGATTCAACTGACAAAAATTGTGTGTACCCTGCTCAGAAGTGCATTGTTGTGCAAGCAGTGGTTTGGCAGTCATTATTCCCTTTCAGCTGCAAGCCAGGGAGGGAGGGATGCCTCTCAGCTGTCAGGAGAGGAAGGGAAGGGGGAAGGAATGTTCCCATTCTGGAATCATCTTCCATCAGTGTTCCCTGAGTTGGGCTGCCAGGAAGGCAGAAGGGAGGGGATGCGACAGCTACTGAACAGTGAGGAAGGTGCCTCACCTGCACAGCCCCTGACACAAGGTGTGTGTGGAGGGAGGGTGCCTGGAACCCTCTGGCCTGTGGGTGGAGCCTGAACCTTATCCTCTTCCCTGAGGACAGGCAGCACATCGTAACCACCACTGGCTGCCCAGGGCTGGCTTGGAGCAATATGCCAAGATGTAGATTTTCCTATTTGGTTTGCTTTTTCCTTTAAATTTTAACATGTATCAGGTTTTTTTTAATATAATATACAATCAGAAAAGTCCAAACAACCATATGTACAACATAACAAATAATTATAAAGTTAATGTTATTATTTTTTTTATAGAGAAAAGTATAAAAAAAGAAAACAGACGGCCCTTAAACCTTTGCCTGGCCAACCTCCACTGAAATTCTTTTAACATAGTTTAAAAATTAAAATAGTACAAAAAGATATAAAATGAAAAGGAAGTACCTCCTCCCTCCCTCTTCCCCACAGGTGAACACTAACAGTTTCCTGTGTATCCTAAATTTTTTTCTCTGCATCAATAATATTTCTGGAGTATGGGATCACACAAGATTTGTCTGTATTTAACAATAAATTTTAAAAGAGGATATAATCATGTCTGTCCCAAGATATAAAATGAATATGTGTCAAAGATTTAGTTTAACTCATTAATTAACGAGAGAACCACTAAAACGTTACAACCAATTCAAAGGAGAACTCAAAACTATCACACATGATAGTCAGATAAGGAATGCTGAAATCATTTCAGAAATGGATGCAAAATTGGTCAGAATTCACACAGCAATAGTCAGTTGCCTTCCACTAGACACAATCTGTGTAACTGTGAACAGGAATTATTTGCATTACTATAAAGGTGTTACAGCTTCACTTCCATCTTTAGAGCTGAGAAATACCTAGTCAAAGACACAAAAGGCAGAAAGAACCTAGGTGGGTAAGTTATTCAGGACAACCACTAAATTTCAACATCTTTCACAGTTTTCCCTACACTTGTAATTGGCTCCCTACCTACATCCCTCCTTGGAATTCCCCTGCCGACAACCCCTGCTGCCCTGTTTGTACCAGTTGACATGCTGTACATGTTCCAGGTGATGGGCCAGGGCTGAAAGCCTAGCCTGGGAGAACCAACAATCACCCAGGCTGAGCCAGCCAAGTGCTCCCAAGGCCCTGACGCTCTGCTTCTTTGGTTGTGGGCCCTGGAGTTGTGAGTCATGGTGACTCAGGACTGGCGGTCATGTTGGGCCTTGTAAAAGATGGTTAAGGGTTTTGTGAAAAAGGAAAGAAATTAGAAATGCAGGGGGAAAGGGCCTGTAGTCCAGCACAAAAGACAAAATGTTTGTCTAATGAGCTTCCAGTTCCTGGGATGACTTTGTGCATTTGGATTCTGTGAGAGTCCTCTTTATGCTGGCGTCAGCTTGGGTGGTGTCTGTTCCAATAATTCCTTACCCAAGGGAGTAGCTGACATGCAAGATGTATTATGACCTAAGGAGCTGGGGTGGTGTCTGAGGCAGTTTCCCACAGAGCCCAGGGTCTGTGTTGGCACCACGGGGCATTATGTCAGCTGCAGAGAGCAGGGGCATAGTACACTCTATGATACAGTAGAGTGATCTGCATCCTTGTACAATCACCTCATCTCCTATGAACAGGTTTTCTCAGCTTAAAAATGGGGCACCATGCTCCTTTCTGGCTTCCTCCCTGGTCCCCATGGAGGTCCAGTGGGAGGCATGGGTATGAGTCTACTGCCCAGGCCAGTCATGTGGTAGGAACTAAGCCCACAGCACTGGCAGGGTGGGAGAGCTCAGCCCCTCTATGCAAAGTGCTTTGGGAGAAGAGGTTTTGTGCAGAATGGCCAGTCATGATTAATTGATGGGAGGCTCTCAGGCAAAGGATCAGATTTCACAGATAAATACACACACACACACTTTGGCTCTCTTGAGAAGGAAATGTTCATTCAGCATAAGGCAAGCGTATGTAAATCAAGATTTTCCATACCTTCAACGGGTTCCTTTCCACCATCTTCATTCATTCACTGAGCATGTACTGAGCACCTACTGTATGATGAGCACTGTCCCAGACACTGAAATCATGAGACAAAGAGCTAGCTCCTGCCCTTGCAGTGTTGGGAAGCAGACGTACAAAAAGAGCTTTACCAAGGAGTGTGATAAGAACAGAGAGAGGAACACAAAGGATATTCTAGCAGCACTCACCCATGACCCCCGTGTGGCGTCCAGGATCCTCAGGGCATGGCCAGAGGAAAGTCTAGTGTTGCTGGAGTGCCATGGAAAGTAAGGGGCTGGCTGCAGTGGGGCCGGTCATGTGGGGACTCGGGGGCCTCAGGAGAAAGTCCATACTTCACTCAAGAAACTGAGTGCTGTGGTCAGTTTTGTACCGTAGAACTGTCACTCTGGCTGCCCGTGAAGAGTGGTTGGAGGGGAACAGACTAGAGGCATAAAGACCTGTTAGGAGGTGGCTACAGGCATCTGAGCAGGAAGTGATGACCTGAACTTAGTAAAACAAGTGGAGGGAACTGATTCAAGAAATGTTTTGGCCAGGATTTAACCTGAGAAACGAGACAATGATGACCGTCAGATTTTAAGCAAGGACAACCATGTGGTTAGGGTGTCGCCATCACAGGAGAAAGAAACCCCAGGAGGAGAAGCAGGTTTGGGGGAGGGGGATGGGCTGGACAATGGTGAGTTCAGTTTGAGACATGGTGAGTATGAAGGACCTATGCACATGCAGGTGGAAGCATTCTGAGGCAGATGGACACACAGGTGTGAAATCTAGGGAGCAGTTCAGGCTGTGAAGCTGGAGGGAATGTGGGCACAGACAAATTTACATGAGTGTGGTTGGGGAGGAGAGGGCAGGGGAAGAAGCGGAGGGGCATCATGCCCTTCGGCCCTAAAATTCTCACCTGCTGAGAATGAGGGTGGGGAAGGGGCTAAGGGCAAGGAGAGGATGCTTGGAACACCCGTTAGGGGAAATACCAGAGAATCTAGGCCTAGCAATACAGGGGCCCTGGTGGCTTTGGAGGTCATAAATCTGCATTAGCACTGACCTGTCCTCCTCAGGGTCTTCTCCAGGACATAGAAGGCAGGAAGGTTGGTCGGCCTGTAGTACTTGGGCTGCAGTCTTACAAGACAATTGTGGCAGAAGGTTCATTTCCTTTTGAGTGTGTAGCAGAGACAGCTAACTGTTCACCAAAAAAAAAAAGTGTATCCCTTGCCCTGCCATAGAACAGAGTTGAGGCTAGGAAGGGGCGTCCCAGCAGAGGCTACATTTCCCAGCATATACCCCTCCTCTCACATCTGTTACATCTGAGAGGAGTCAAGTGACACGTTCTTGCCAATGGAATGTTGATCAGGGATGACATGTATTTTCCAGCCCCAAATAGTTAAGAAGCAGATGTGCCTTCTCCACCCTTCTTTTCCTCTTCTAGTTTAAGGCCCCCTTGGAAACCACATGTTGGAGATGGCAGAGCCACAAGGTGGAAGGATCCCGGTCCCTAAATCATCACTTGGAGGACACACACCACTGATCAGGAACACCCACGTGAGTTGTTTGTGAACAAGAAATCAGCTATATTGTCTGAGCCAATATACATTTGGGGATTTGTTTGTTATAGCATCTAGCATTATCCTAACTAATACCGGGTTTAAGAAAATTGTTGGTTGTTCAGATGATTCTGATGCGGCCAGACTGGAGAATCAATTGAAGCCTCTCGGGACAGAAAGTCTTTGTTGAGGTGCAAGAGCAGGAGTGGAGAGCAGACTGAAAATATCTAGAAAGCAGGAGGTCAAGGCCTCTGGTAGAATTCAGGAGGCTAACATTTCAGAGAGGGGCTATCCTGCAGTGTGGCAAGAGCCAATGGGAAAAGGTAAGGAACATTAAGCAGGTCCGGGAACTGTGATGCTGGGGGTCAGGAATCATGTTGGATGGTTAGTCCACTTGGAAATTGTGGTCTGTGACGAAGCAGGACATGGGGTGGAGAGAGAGTGTCAGAGGTCTGGCCACTGTCTTGCAACCAGGGCAATGGGAAGAAGTGCTTTAGTTAAAAACTAGACTAACCATCAGGACTGCCATCACTAAGCCCTGTCAGCTGCCATGGCTGAATGGATCTGAGCAGGGTGTCTCATCATTGGTGAGGATTTGTTCATTAGGCCACAGAGATGCACACCCGAAAGCTGGTCCATGAAAAGGAGCACCTGTAAATGCTGAGGCAGGCTAACTGCATCCAGCCACAGAAACAGCCAGACCCACAGCAAGAGTGCTTTCTTCAGTTGGTAGAGAAGCTTGGCACTCTCCAAATTGCTTATTTACACGTCTGTTTGAGCCTCATGGACATCCCATATTAAAGACAGTGTCCCTCTGTGCCAGGTAAGGTCACCAAAGTGTTAAATAAATGATAGCACTCAGAAGGGAGTGGAGCCAAGGTCTCCTGATCCTTGGCCAGTGGTCCTCATTATAAAATCCCTTTTACAGACATTTTTAGACATTAACTACCCATCATCTTGGGAAGATTTAGGCCTCAACACACCCCTGGCAGCAGGAATGACGGGGATGGCCTCCAAAGGCACTTCCAGCTAGCAATTCTTAAAAGAGTTTCTGAATGAGCAGTTCCAAAATAAGACTAGGAATAGGAATGACAGAAAACTCAAAATAATAGTTGTGAAAATAAGAGAAGTTTATGTCTCTTAAAAAAGAGTCTGATGTAAAAAAAAAAAAAAAAAGTCTGATGTAAATGTAAGGGCTGCTATGGCCCTCCACAATTTCAGAGGGTCAAGGCTCCTTCTATTTTGTTTTTTTTCCTGTATTGTTGTGTAACAAATTACCGCAAAACTCAGTGGCTTATAACAACAATAAGCTTTTCTTACCTCACACTTTCTGTGCGTCAGGAATTCAGGAGTAATTTTGCTAGGTGATTCTGGCTTAAGCTCTCTCATAAGGTTGCAGTCAGGATGTCAGAATGGAGCTGTGGTCACTTGATGGCTTGAATGGCACTGCAACATTGGTTCTGGCTGATGGCAGGAAGCCTCAGTTCCTCACCACCTATAATCCTCCATAGGTTGCTTGAGTGTGCTTACAACATGGCAGCTGGCTTCCACTAGCCTGGAGCAAGTGCAGAAGCTGCAGTGTCCTTTATGAAGTAGTCTCAGAAATCACACTATCATTTCTGCAATATCCTGTCGGTTACACGGGTCAGTCCTGTTGAATACGGGAGAGAATGAAACAAGGACCTTCCAGTAGTTGAGAATTACTGGAGGCCATCTTGGAAGTTGGGCTACCATATCTGCCATCTTCAGAGAGTGGCTTCATCCCAATATTCTAATATGGCTGCTCTAACTCCAGCTGTCACATCACAGAAGGTACTTTCTGGTTGGCATGAAAAAAGAAGAAAGGAAGAAGGCATGCCTTTCAAGAAGTTGCATACACTATCCTACTTATAGCTTATTGACCAAAACAGTCACATAGCTGGAAAGGCGGCTGGGAAATTTAGTATTTATTTTGGATGCCATGTACTCAGCTAGACCAGATACTGGGGGACACTTGGCAGTCTCTGACACATCAGCAATGTTCCTGTGTATATTTCAAAGGATGGTGTGGGGAGGAGAGCACAGAGGACATCACTATCTTGGGTTACTGACCTGGCTAAGGACTTCTGACCCATCTTGTCTGGGAAACGTGTGTGTGTGTGTGTGTGTGTGTGTGTGTGTGTGTGTGTGTGGCAGGGACAGGGGAGGAGTGCAGATAAGTGCTTTATCCTGTAATTAGTGAATCTCAGTGTCAAGAGAAAATAGTCCTTAGAAGAACTCAGGAGACAAATGAACATTAAAAACAGACTGAGTCCTAGAAACCCAGCCAAGAGTGGTCCCAAGAATTAAGATGATCCAGAAAATGAGAATACCATCACAGGAGACACTGTGAGAGCAGCCTCACTCTGCACCCAGACATGCAGGTTTAAATAAATTCTAGGTAGCCCAACTTATGACCCCAATGCAGAAGCCCAGATGGGCAACTCTACCAGCTGTGTTTTTAAAAGATCGCATGATTCCTGATCAATGAACCAAAGAGACCAAATGCAAAAGTGTTTAGAGCTGAGCTGCAGATTTGCCCAGAGACCTGTTAGAGACCAGAGCCAAGGCTTGAGCAGCCAGCTGGGTGCTGACTCAAGCTGGGAGTGAGCCCGACATTGGAGCCTAGCTAAGCAGAAGATGAGCCATCAGCCAGCCAGAGAATTCTAAGGCTTGAGAAGCCCACAGAAAAGCTGCCCTGGCAGAAGGAGGGCAAGGCTCTGACTTGGCTGAGTGGCTGGTGACAGAGGGCACTGTCATCCTAGAGGAATGCAAAGTCTGGAGCAAGAGGCCTACAGCTGGGGCATCCAAGGGGGCAGCTGGTACTGCCAAGGCCCCTGTGGCAGGAGCTGGCTTTCTCTTCATTGCCAAGGCCTGCCTAGACCTTGGATCCTTATCTCGAGGGTGGAAGAGGTGGACTGAGGATTCGGAGGTGCTCGCTTCATGGAGGGTGACTACAGTCTCCTACCTGCCTGGCTAGTCTCGTGTGCCCTGCCCATAGCCCAAGCTGGATAACGTCCTGGGTCCTGAGTCCACACCAGGCCATCTCCAGATGGGGTATCAGGACACCCTGGGTAGGCAGCATGCTCACTCACCCGGGTCACAACCCATGACCCTTATTGTACGTGGGTTGTCAATCATCACCACATTGCTGTGCACAAGGGTCCACCTCCAGAGCAGTAAGGGATCACCACAGCTCCAGCCTTCCTCACTCTGCCTTGGCCCGAGTGCCAAGGTCACCGAGAATTTGGGGGACCTCTACAGACTGCTAGTTTGAGGACCCTTTCAAGAAAGACACCTCCAGGTGTGGCTGACATCGGGCTCCAACCTCAGGTGGGGGTAGGGGGGTGTTAGAAGCTAAGGGTGGGCTGGTAGGGGGTAGTTAGGAAGGGTAGAGCGTCCCAAAGTGGCCTGGAATTGGCTTGGGAAATCCAGGACTTTGCTTTGTGGCTCTGTTGCAGCAATGCTTAGCGAGCACCTGCTCAATGAGGCAGACACTTGGCTACCCCCTGGGTACACAGAGCAGAGGAAGGCTCATATGACATCACACCAGACCATAAGTAAAGCAAAACAGCAGAGGGTGCAATATGCAGTGATAGGTTAAATACAAGACACAGAAACAATGGAGGAGGGGAATGTGCTGGTAGAGTGGTAAAGGGAAGCTTCACTTCACAGAAGAGGTGGTACCTGCAAGAAAGAACAGGAGTTCCTCAGCCACGATGGGGCCAGGTGAGGAAGGGAATCTAGGCAAAGGGAACAGCAAGCCCCAGAGCTCTTAGCTGTGAGACCACCAGCGGTAGAGGAAGAGATTTTCCTTGCCTGATGTGTTCATTAGACTCTGAAATTTCTGGGCCCTTTCAAGGTGCAGTAGCCTTGATCTCTTTCCAATAAACAACTCAGAGGAGTCAGAGAGGGGAGAAGATGCTCCCTCCCTGCTCGTTGGGTTTTCTTTCAACTTTGAGTCCTTGGTAGCTGGTCATAACAGGGCGGGGGAACCATAATTATGAAGAGGAGAAGGGTTCTTTGATCTTGAAGAACCTGCCCAAGGCCCAGTCCGTCTCTATGTAGGTCCTCAAGTGACCTTGGATGGCCCCTTAGGCATGACTGTCCCCAGCAGCCTCTGTGGGGCAGGAGGCAGGGCTGGGAGGTGCACTGGGTGGGGCACTCTAACCTACCCTCCCTGCTGTCAGACCCAGTCTGTTGAGGTATCTGGCCCTCTCTGGAACCCTTGGGAACCCCCAGCATTGCCAAAGCACCGTCCTGCATCTTGCAGGTGGCCCTACAGTGTGAGAATCGTCATCTGGCGCATGCTGACACATCCTACTAACTTTTTTGGTGGTGTACAGGCTTGCTTTTCCTCTAGGACCCAGGAAAACGTGATATGCAAATGAATCACCAGGTGACCCCAAATCAAACAGCTGCTCTGGAGTTCTTCTGTGAAGGCAAAAGGAACTGGAGGCCCCAAGAGGTCCACCTCCTTTCTGGGTCAAGGTGGGCAAGTGAGACTGAACCAGAGTTACACTGGGATGTCACCCTGTCTCTGGCTACGGGTGGACCAGGAACCTCAGGCAGAGCCGCCAGTGCCCAGCGAGGCTTTGGGAGGATTTGTGGTGCAGGTGGAGGGTGGGTCATCAGTGCTGAGGTCCTGGCCAGCCCAGCTCATTCATCCAGGAACCCCTTTCCCCTGACTGTTGCTCTTCTCACTGGGATATGCAAACAGCCTCATGGCAGGCCTGGCCTTTCTCTCACCTATGCCAGCTCCAGCCCCAAGGCCTAGCTCAGGTCACATCTCTCTGGTTCAAAAACCCCTTAATATAAACTCCTTGGTCTGGCATCCAAGGCCCTACCCACTACAGTACTAACTCACCTCTCACCAGTCTTCCATAAACTCCTCCTCCAGCCCAGTGTGTGCCCATCCTTTTTGCCCTCTTCCCCTAAAGCTCTCTCATCTTTGAGCCCTGGATCTTGCCTTTACGGGGTCCAAAGGTCCCCTTGCCACTGCTGCCCTCCTGACCAGGCCCAGCTCCAGTGCCGTCTCACCTATCAAGTCTTCCTTGTCACCCTCTGCCCTCCGACCCTATGGCCTACAAGATGGAACTTTTTACTAGATTTGTATCTTTAATTATAGGAGTGATACATGCTTGTAAAAACATCCCCACATTATAGAAGCATACACAGTAAAATGACTGTGTCATCCCAGCTCTCCTTTCCCTAGAACTCACCCCAGTCAACAGTCAGGCGTGCACATGGGTGCCCGTTTTACACAACAGGAGAGGGGACCCTTGAGAACTTTCCATCACCACTTGACATGGCGGTGACAGGGTGGTGGTGGTGAGGAGCAGAGTTGGTGACTTGTGTTGACTTTGGAAAAAATCACTGGCCTCGAGGTCAGTCTGTGGGGCCCCTTGATTCCTTTCAAAGAACAGAGCCCCAGGGAGGCATTTCTAGTTCACAGGAAGATATTCATTCTGTTCACCCAAGAGCCAGAAACTCAAGTTCAAAAGGCAGCCAGGCTGCTTGAGAATCCTCTTGGCCTAGCACAAACCCCACTATAAGCCCGGGCTGAGCTGGGCGGAAAGTCAGGCAGCTTTAACGGCACGGTCACTCGGTCAGATGGAGAGATGCAGAGTTTGAACGCTGGCCTGCCTTTCTCCAACCTGGGCCCTTGCCTGGCCCCTGTAGGTCCAATGTTCTGGCTGGTCAGCCTGGAGCCCTCTACTCGCCGTGTGCCCTGCTGGCGAAGCAGTGAGTCCCCTTACAGCATGGCTCAGGAGAATAATCTGCCCAAGGGACTACTCACCCTCCTTAGAGTAGGAACTAGAGGAAGAAGCGGGGCTGTGCTGGCATCTCCTTCTCCAGAGGTTCCAGCCCACGTTTCTAGGCAGTTTGAGCAACAGGGGATAGATGTCTTCCCTAAATAACCCAAGGTACCACATCTCTCCCCCACACTCCAATTCAAATAAAATACTTAAGGAAGAGAAGGGACTGCGGTACACCAAGGTGGGAACACCTAACCCCAATTGAGAGATGTCAGGGAAGGCTCCCAGGTATTGGCATATACACTGACACTTAAAAGATAAGCAGGATGTGGCCAGGTGAAGGTGAGAACAGCATTCCACACAGAAGGAACACCACTGGTAAAGGCCTAACGGTGAGAGGGAGCATGACTTTGGAGAAACTGGAAATTCACTGTGGCTGAGCCTAGTGTGTGAGGGGGACATGGAGGGGGTGGGCTTGGAGAGGTCGACTGCTTGGGTGTGCAAACCTCAGGGCTTTGTCCCAGTGGCCAAAGGGAGTCAAGGGAAAGGTTTTAAGAAGATAAGTGACATTTCAGACAGATGACTCATAGACCATGAGCTGAAGGTGATAAGTTTGGAGGAAATGAATGCCTTTGGGTGAGCAATAATGGTAGCCTAGACTAGGGCAGGCACAGTGGAAGATGAGAGGAAATAGAATTCAACACAGCATGAGGGGGTGAGGAAGAGGAAGGCGACGCTGGCTTAGGTGTTGAGGATATAGATCACAGATCGACAGTCACATTCAGCAAACAATTATTAACTGGACTGGACTCAGGGTGTAGGGATCTGGAGGTCCCCACATACTTTCATACATAAAGAATTGAAGGCCAGTGGCCAGTGATAAGCCCCAATCTGGCCATCTAGCCTGCTGACATCAGTGCAGACCTGATTGGGCACCCAAATCTTGATTCGGGCATGTCATGTACACACAGAGGCTGCTAGACACCATAATCCTGAAGCAGACACCCCAGGTCCACAGCCGACCACTCTCAGCCAACCCAGTGCTCCCCTGACCTACAAGCCAGATATCCCTAGTCAATCAGCAACGCTCAGAAACTTTGTTTTTTGAATACAGAACAGAGATAGTTCATGACCAACCCCATTTCTCCCCCTTCCCCAACCTAGACTCTCTGCTGGAACAGTGTTTTGTTTGGCAGTAAAACTTTTCTACTCAGCACTCAATCTTTGGCCTCTAGTCTTAACTCAAGCCAGAGGCCTCCACCAGCCACAGGGCCTGAAGGGGCTTCAACAAAGTTGGATATACCTTATATGTTCTTCGCACAATTCTGATATTCTATACTCTGTGGTCCTTCTTTGAGCTCTCCTGGGCACCTGCGGGTGCAGTGAGCAGCCCAATAGGGGCTGAGGGTGTTATCTGAGGCCATGAAACATGGGGGCATTGGGCTGTGGGGTATGGTGGAAGAATACAGGTAGGAATCCCAAACCCTTGGTTATGGTCTCCAGCTCCCCAGGTGACCTTTCCTCTTTGGGCCTGTCCCTCCAGCCCCCAGGCCTTTGCACATGCTGTTCCCTCTGCCTGGAATACTCTTCCCCTTCCCCTTTGTCTGTTTGGCTCGTCCTTCAGGTCTCTGCTTTCTCAGGGAACACCTTTTTTTTTTTAAAATAAATTTATGTTTTTGTTTTATTTATTTTTGGCTGTGTTGGGTCTTCGTTGCTGTGCGGGCTTTCTCTGGTTGCAGTGAGCGGGGGCCACTCTTCGTTGCGGTGGGCGGGCTTCTCATTGTGGTGGCTTCTCTTGTTGCAGAGCACGGGCTCTAGGCACACAGGCTTCAGTAGTTGTGGCACGTGGGCTCAGTAGTTGTGGTTCGTGGGCTCTAGAGCGCAGGCTCAGTAGTTGTAGCGCACGGGCTTAGTTGCTCTGCGGCATCTCACTGACTTCCTGATCCAGGTCAGATTCTTTAGTTAAATATTCCCATAGACCCAGGTTCCATTACTTCTTTCCCTTCATTAGGGGTTTTTGTTTATTTGTTTGTTTGCTACCATCTGCCTCCCCCAGCAGACTTCCATGAGAGAGAGGTTCTGTCCTACTCACTGTTGTATCCCCAGGCCCTGGCAAGGGACCTGTCCAGTAGTAGGTACTGAATGAATGCATGAATGAACAGATGGATAGATTTCACTTGGTAAAACAAAAGCTCAATTGGATGAGACCCTTCCCAGCATTGACGTAACCTTCTAGGCCTCTACCGTTTCATCTCTGAAATAGGAAGAATGTTCCCTGCTGGCTGCTTTACTTCTGTATCTAAAATGACTCCAGTTAGTCTGATAAAGTTTGGGATGCTTTAAAAACAACTGGGATAAAGGTTCCTATTTGGCTCAAGGACCTTATTTTCTGACCCCTAGTCACATATATATGAACATTGAGAGAGAAATTCAGGCTGTGCCAGAAACCCCAGGGCCCTCTGTCAGAGTTGGAGTTAGACAGCCCCTTCCAGAGAAGGATGAGTGGCCAGAAGCCCCAGCCATGCCTCCTAGAGTTAGGGCGGTTAAGGCTCTCCTGTGTTCCCATGGCCCGGCAGGCAGGGTGGATGAGTGTCACAGCTCAGAACTGGAAATGGTGCCGCATCAGGGGCTCAGAGTCTACTCATTTATCCTTCTGTCTGTCTTCAGTGATGGACTGAGTGTAGGAGTTTTTCTGAGGCAAAGCCAGAGGTATGGCTTAGGGCCCAGTGAATCATCTCCCAAGAGTCTAGGCCACACAAGAAGGCTGCCTGTGTCCACCACTGCTTTCACTGCTGCAGGTGGACCTCACCTGCTGAGGTCCAGATCTGCTTATAAGATGCACCAGGATGAGGACACCATCTTTATAATCTTCACGAAGAGATTCTGCCCAGCCATCCTCTCCCTGAGGGCCCATAACTACACATTCCTATTCCCCACAGTCTTGAGGGAGCTTGCTCCTCCTGGAAGGGGTAGCTGGCTGGACTGGAAGGATGACCTGGTCAGGGTCTGGAGTGAGACAGAATCTCAGCCACATCAAAATTTGCGCTAATATCCCTAGCCAGGATAGGGAGTACCAGGTCCTAATAAATCAATAAGGTTCTTCAAGAGCTGAAAAACCTAAACGAGGAAAAGGAGGAGGCGTCTGATTCTGGAGGAGCCTTTTCAGTGGCTTAGGAATGCAATGCACATTATACAAATGGATAAACTCCTGCCATGGAGACCTGTCTCTGATGGAGACCTGGGAAGAGCCAAAGCTTTCAGTATTTTAAAGAAGGGTAGCCCCTTGCCCCCACTCTTCAATGTGCTAGCTCTGTGCCTTCTTCTGCTCAGACCCCCATTCATCCTTACTGCACTGCTGGTTCCCGGTCACCTTGGGACACCCTAGCTGGCCCAGGCCCTCCTTAAACAAACTCACAAGAGTCAATACAATCACTATCAAAATCCCAACAATGTTTTTTTCAGATATAGAAAAATCCATCTTAAAGTTCATATGGAATCTCAAGGGACCCTGAATAGCCTAAACGATCTTGAAAAAGAACAAACTTGGAGGTCTCATATCACCTGATTTCAAAACTTACTTCAAAGCTATAGTAATCAAAAGAGTGTGGCACTGACATAGAGACAGACATATAGACAAATGAAATATAATATAAATATAATACAAGAAATACAAAAAATAAATCCTCACATGTACAGTCCAATGGTTTTTGACAAGGGTTCCAAGACAATTTAGCGAGGAAAGAACAGTCTTTTCAACAAACAGTATTGGGAAAACTGGATATCTACATGCAAAAGAATGAAGTTGGATCTTTACTTTACACCATATACAAATATTAACTCAAAATGGATCAAAGACCTAAACATAAGAGCTAAACTATAAAACTCTTAAAAGAGAACATAAGGGAAAATCTCCATGTCATGTCATTGGATTTGGCAATGATTTCTTGCAAATGACACCAAAAGCACAGGTGACAAAAGGAAAAATAGATAAACTGGACTTCATCAAAGTTAAAAACTTTTGTGCATCAAAGGACAATACCAATAGAGTGAAAAGGAAACCCATGGAATGGGAGCAATATTTGCAAATCATATAAGGGGTTAATATCCAGAATATATAAAGAACTCCCACAACTCAACAGCAAAAAACAAACAACCAAATTTAAAATTGGACAAAGGACTTGAACAGACACTTCTCCAAAGAAGATAGGCAGATGGCCAGTAAACACATGAAAAGGTGTTCAACATCACTAATTATTAGGAAATTCAAAATTAAAATCACTATGAGATACTAATTCACACCCATTTGTATGACTACTATTAAAAAACAGAAAATAACATGTGTTGGTAAGGATGTGGAGAAATTGGAACACTTGTGCATTGCCAGTGAGAACGTAAAATGATGCAGCTGCAGTGGGAAATGATATGGCAGTTCTTCAAAAAATTAAAAAGAATTACCATATGATCCAGTGATTTTAGTTCTGGGTATATACCTAAAAGAACTGAAAGTAAGGACTTGAACAGATGTTTATACACTTGTGTTCATAGCAGCATAATTCACAATAGGCAAAAAGTGGTAATAACTCAAATGTACATCAGTGGATGAATGGCCAAACAAAATGAGGTGTATACATAAAATGGAATATTATTCAGCCTTAAAAAGGAAGGAAATTCTCATATATACTACACTATACATGAACTTTGAAGACATTATGCTAGGTGAAATAAACCAGACACAAAAAGACAAATACTGTATGATTCCACTTGTATGAGGTATCTAGAGTGGAGTTCATAGAGACAGAAAGTAGAATGTGGTTGTGGGCTAGGGGGAGAAAGGTATGGGGAATTGTTGTTTAATGGGTACAGAGCTTCATTTTGGGATGATGAAAAAGTCCTGGAGATGGATGGGGATGATTGCTATACAACAATGTGGATTTACTTAATGCCACTAAACTATACACTTAAAAATAGTTAAAGTGGTAAATTTTATGTTATGTATATTTTACCACAATAAAAAAAGAAAAAGTTGAATGGGAGTAGGCACCTGAATCTGTAAGTGTCCTCTTCTGAGAGCTTACTCATGACCCTAGGAGATAGTGGGAGGGATGGGGGCAAAGGAAGGGGGCTGTCTGTTCCCCACCTCTACCACCAACCTCCCTTTATTTCTGCCTCTCTAACTTGTGGTCATATCACATGTCTTGTTCTATGTGTGTTGTCTAGATTGTGACTGTCATTCTCAAGTAGGTAGACTCAAGAATAAAGAAATATGACGGCAAGAGGTGACAGGTGTTGGGGGGATAGATTCAGGTTCAGCAGGGATTCTCAGAGCCTTGGAGGGGGTTGGCAGATTGAAAAGTCTTCCCAGTCTTAAAAGAGGAGTAAGTGACAGTTAAGAGGCCACAGAGATGGGAGGGTCATAGTCAAGCTAGGAGCACACAGAATGAGGCCACTGTAGCTGAGCTCTGTGGTCAAGGTAGCAGGAGATGGGGCGGGAGTCAGATTGGGCAGGACATTTACCCAAGGGGATCATAGCGCCCTGGAGGGTTTGCAATAGGAAAGAGATCCATTTGACTTACATTTTGAGATGCTTACCCTGGATGTTGGGTGAAGAATGGACAGCAGGGGGCATGGGTAGGAGCAGGCAGACAGTGAGAGGCTGCTGCAGGCATCCAGAGGAGAGGTGGTGGTGGCTTGACCTGGGTGGTGGTAGTGGAGGTGGAGGGCTATGGACAGATTCTTGAGGTGTTGGGAGGAAGAGATGCCAAGGCCTGTGGCTAGATTGGACATGGGGCTGAGGGGCTTGCTGCCCAGGGGTCTTGGGTGGATGGGTGGATGATAATACCATTTACTGAGCTCTAACCAGTGGTGGGACAGGTTGAAGGGACAAGTCTGGCACCTGGTTGCTGAGAGATGAATGGTCAGTTCACCTTTGCTGGTTACACATCACAGCTCTTATATTCAGAAAGTTCTTCGAGTCTAACCCTGACCTTCCAGCTGCAACTGGAGCTCCAGCCATTCCAGGTTGCCCTTGGTGAGTCTGCTTGGTGCTGAGAGGTGGTGGGACTGAGGCATGGGCTAGCGGCCAAGGGCTTGGGTGGCAGGCGTGCCTTTTGCATGACCGCTATGAAGCATATCAACCTGTGGTGCGTGTCAGCCTCAGGCCCAGGGAGCCCATGCCAAGGTGCGTGGGCTGGAGGACCCGGTACAGGAGCCTCCTGCCCCAAGCACTTCAGGTCCGTACATGCCCCTCATCCTGCCTCTGGAGCCCTCTCTCAGATCAGAAGCATCCCCCAGGGCCCTCAAGAAGGGCTCTTCTTCATGATTCCTTCAGAGGTAGAAGGTGGAGGGCAAAACCTCTCATCTTGATGCCAGACAAACTCCAAGAAATTACTCATCAGAGTTCAAAGCTTCAGAACCGCCGGAAAAGGGCCCTGCCCCACAGTCTGATCGGAATAGCTGGTCAGCAGGGGCTGTGGCACAGGGGGCTTTCAAGGTTGGGGCCAAGGCCCTGACTGGGCACAGCTCCTTCCAGAGCTGGGCTGCCCTACACCTCATCTTACCAAACTACAACTGCGACCAGGGAGCCATAGGCAGAAGCCCCCTTGGATCTGCCCCCCTAGC